ATGCACACGCAAGTATACGTGGTCGACAAGTAATATAATGATAAGTTGAGTGCCTAACCCACAGAGACTTATGTAAACTACTCACGAAATCACTAAAATTGTTATTCAATCCAGCTAAAACCAAAGTCCAATAATATGATTGTACTATACTACGATTCTAAAATAATAACTAAATTATCAAGTAACGAGTTGATTGTTGTGTATTCAGTAGAGACAAGTATTCCAGGGTTGTGATCGATTCACCATTCGTATTGTGTTCTAATTAACTCTCCCTTTCATATAATTCACTCATGGTTGCTAATTAATCGATAAATGCTCTCATAGCCTTCTCCTGAAGTACTACTCACCTATTCTCAATAGATTAACGCCTATATTCCTATGAAATCAATCTATTAAGAACGCATTAAGATCACGATATTTAATTAAGCACGGTGGCTAGGTATATTCCTATCCTAACCATAAATCCGCTCCCCCTAAGTGTTAAGATCATGCTCTCTTCAATTCTTCTCTAATCTAAACACGGCTTTTCCAAGCATAGCATAGATGGTAAATAGAACCTAACTGTTGGCCAGACAATCAAGAAATTAAACATAGAATTGAAGAAACAACCATATGTTGGTGAATTATAATCAAGGTTAAGTTAATATCAAACAACAATATTCATGGCTAAATCACAACCCGAGAATAATGGGTGTTTAGCCACTCATGATGTAATCAAACAATTGCATAAGTTTTGATTAATTGAAAATACTGGAAAAGATGAAGAATTCCGAGTTGTTCTTGATCCTCAATGTTTCTAGCGTGTATTTTTGCTCCAAAGTGCGTCTCTCCCATAAAATTAGTCTTAGTCTTCCTTTTATACGTGTTGGATAGGTCTAGGGTCGAATAAACCCTGTCCCGGGCGAAATAGGCCAGACTTCACGTAACCGGCGCCCAGCCCGGCGCCCCCCATAGCGCCCAATATTTTTGATACTGTCTCCAGTGCCACAGGTGGCGCCAGGCGCTGCCTGTGGCGCCCAAATGGCCCTTTTTCGATTTTTGTTCGTTTTAGCTTCAAACCGTGTACGTTTTGCCCCCACTTGCTCCCGAATCATTCCTACAAGTAAAAACACTTCAAATTACTATAATTCATAGCATTTAACATCCCAAATTCACGAAACAAGATTAAAATATAAGGTGATATACATAAAAATATATATACTTTAAGCTAAACATCATCCGTAATGTCGGTGTGCAAAATTTGAGGTCAATCGGACGTGACTGGATGGGTTTCGGCATCGAATGTAGAAGTTTGAAGTTCTAGAGTTCATTAACCTTGGTTTGGGTTGCGATTCATGATTTCGTCGTTATTTGATGTGATTTGAGGCCTCGAGCAAGTCTGTGTCATGTTTTGGAACTGGTTGGTGTGATTGGACGGAGTCCCAAGGGCCTCGGGTGGATTCCGGATGGTTAACGGATTGAATTTGGCCTTATAGAGGTGTTGAGGTTGTTGTCTTCTAGTGTAACTGCACCTGCGAGATTAGGGTCGCAAGTGCGGAGCTGCAGAAGCGACCATGAGGGTCGCTGAAGCGGCCATGAGGGTCGCAGAAGCGGCTTAGGTTGGAGAAGGCTGGGACCGCAGGTGCAGTCAAGTTCCGCAGAAGCGAGACCGTACCTGCACGCGTGGAGTCACAGAAATGGGTACGGGACGCAGATGCGGAGTTGAGGGGCCTGGAGGAGGACCGCAGAAGCGGATTATTTGCTGCACCTGCGGAACCGCAGAAGCGGTCAAGTGACCGCAGATGCGAGGATCGCTAGGCAGTGAGGTTTCTTTGAAACGAGGGTTTGGCTCATTTTCACTCCATTCTTCCATGGGAGCCGATTTTGGAGCAGCTTTGGGGTGCCATTTTCATCACCAAGCATGAGGTAAGTGGTTTCCACTAGCTTTGAGTTAAATACAAGTTTTATATATAGATTTAGACAAGCAAATTAGTAGAAATTATGGGATTTGGAAGAAAACCAAGAAATGTATGATTTTGGATTCTGGCCACGAAATTGGACATGGAATTGGGAATAGATTATATATTTGAGTTCGTGAGGCTATGGCTAAACTTTATCTTCGAAAATTTTCGGAATCCGGGCACGTGGGCCCGAGGGTGATTTTATCTACTTTTCGATTGGGGTTAGAAATTATTATAAAATGAATTGTTATAAGTATTAGAATATATTTTCATTGGTTTGCCCATTATTTGGCTAGTTTGGGAGCATTGGGCATCAATTTGAGTCGTTGGAAGGGCTTGGAAGTCGGTTATGGAACTTCGGAGCCAGGTAAGTCTCCATTCTAACCTTGTAAGAGGGAATTTTCCCCATAGGTGAAATAATTGAATATGTGCTACTATTTGTGGGGGCTACGTATGCACGAGGTGACGAGAGTCCGTGCGTAGCTACTATTATGCTTAAGTTTGGGTAGTCTAGGACCCAAAAGCATGCTTTACTTGTCGTACTTGTAACTTTATTGACAATTTAAAGGGTTTAAATCATATCGAACTTGGTAAATAGATTTCAAAAGGGCTAAACATCATTTTCTTGACTGTTAAAGGAGAAGTTGTCATTTCCTTGGTTATTGCTTCCCTGATGAAGTCTTAATTGACTGTTTAAAAGTCTGTATCTATGTGTACCTGCGTCGCATGTATGATTCGCGAGCGGGGTAATTCTTTTATTTATATTTAACCACGTCGCATGTATGATTCGCGAGCGGGGTAATAGATGCATCTATGGTTCGCGCCATTCGACCCTCTGGCAGTGCACCGTTTAAGTATTATGTTGGATCGGGTTGTGCGACCTCGGCATGATTTGCGCATGACTTGCTCGATTGTTTTTTTTTTTTTTTTGAAATTATTGATAATTGATGTGGTCTCATTGGCCGGGGATGTAAATTGTTTAAAAGGATGAAAAATATGTTTGAAAGTTTCCATTACAAAAGAAATGTTTACCGCTTCTTGATTATTTGTTTGCAGTCGCCTTATAAAATCCATGATTTTTTGCATTATTGGTATTATATTGTTGGACCACTAGTAAGTATCGAAGTCGACCTCTCGTTACTACTTCTTCGAGGTTAGACTTGATACTTACTGGGTACGCGTTGTTTTCGTACTCATACTACACTTGCTGTGCATTTTTGTTGCACAGGCACATGTATGACTAATGGCCTAGTTGAGCGCAGCGGCATGGTTGATACGGAGACTTAGGTGAGCTGCATCTCTAGAGACGACCCGCAGCTAGCAGAGTCCCCTTCAGAGTATTAAATTTCCTTTTCTGTCCAAATTTGTATTCCGGACAGATGTATTTCATGTATATTTAGTTGATGCTCATGCACTTGTGACACCGGGCTCTGGGATGACTACGGGATTATTATTCAGTATTTAAATTTGTTAAAAACATCATTATTTACTCAGTGAAGTTCATTATTTATTGTTTAATGTAAGGAAAGAAATGATTTCAAGAATACTAAAATAAGGATTTAATTTACTCCTTGGTGTTGGCTTGTCTAACAGTGATGTCCGGCGCCATCACGACCTTTATTGAATTTTGGGTCGTGACAAATCTTTGGTAAATACCATTAGTAATATACTACAATTATGTTTTAGCTCTAAAGCAAACTATAATTAGTAATAAGTGATCTCTTGAGTTTATCAGTATTATTTATCTGATTATGTATCCAGCGAGCTACCTCAAAATGTTCTAAATATGCATAGGTGTGAAGATTAACCTTCTATTTTATATATTTCATATAGTTGGGAATTTCTAACCTCAAGAATAGAGCAAAAGGGGTATTATCAATTAGAACAATATAATAAATTTTCCATTTGTCCACACCTGAAAATCATTCATGAATAGCTCAAAGTCTCAATAGTACAAAAGAATAAAAGTCGAATATCCAGACCCTTAAAATGACAAAAACAGAAATTGCAACGAGTTTAGGTAAGCAATAATGGAAATTTCATACATTATCAACACTATAAGAATATACAGAACAAAACCTAAATGTTCTTTCATTAAAAATCAGTTTGAAAAATGAAAGCAACTACCTAACACGACCTGAGCTCGCTAAAGATTATTCCTTATCTCCATCCAGCAGGCCATATATATATATATATATATATATATATATATATATATATATATATATATATATATATATATATATATATATATATATATCATTATTATTATCAAACCCTAATTTTGCAATATATTAAGCAGATATACAGAATTCTAATTAAGTCCACCTCAATTCTTATCCACACATTTTAAATAAATCCAACAAAACAGATCAAACAACCCCATTCTATTTGTCCATGGTCGGTCAGTACACTTTGTGTGGACCAAACCCCCTTAGTGTTGCCCTCGTATCCGAGATTATGGGTTTTCCATTCTAAGAAAAAGTTGCTTATATCCAAGCGTTTAAATTTAAAATATTCATCGATTGTATAATATATTTATAATCTATGTATAATATGTATATAATCGTGTATAATTGTAATATAATTTATGTATACTGACTAGACAAAGTAAACAGTGAATTCCACCGGCTGTTTGTGTTAAGATCTTTTTGAATAAATTATTTATACATATTACGTTAAATTTATAATACAAATATAAATTTAGGATCAAAATTCTGCCGAACTCGTAAATGTAGCTCCATTTGCACCTATCAACTCCATTTTCTAATCATTATTTTTCTCACAAGGGACCTCCCATGACCCACCACAATGTCGTAATAATGGTCGGCTCACATGGATAGATTATTGACTATCTTCCAGACATTTCCATAAAGAGCATGTTATTGACAGCTAGGATTTATAAGAAAAAAAATTGATTGGATGTGTATGGCCACATATACACTTACTTTTATTCTCCTTATCTTCTTTGTAAGGAGGAGATGCCCATACAGTCAAAAACACATGATGTGCATTAATTTACTTAATGTTTTTTTAATATTGTGTCCTAGTATATAAAGGTGACAAAGAAAGGACTCTTCTTGTCATCGGAAAACATAATCTCTGTCTCTATTTTCCTCAATTCTAATTAGATTCAATTAATTAGTTTTCTGAAAATGCCTGCCATAGCTTTTGGTCGTTTTGGTGATTCATTTAGCTTAGGGTCTATTAAGGCCTACATTGCTGAATTCATCTCTACATTGCTCTTTGTCTTCGCGGGAGTTGGTTCAGCCATTGCTTACAGTTAATAACTCTTCCTCTTTTTTCCTTATACTATATAATTACAACATGGACTCGAATAATTTTATTCTCATTTACGTGCCATACTTAGTAACTAAATGAATTTGGTGCTTAAAGTTTCATAATGAAAAACTTTGGCCGCTACTTACAGTAATGCATGAATTAATTTACGTAGTTAGTAATCATTGCATGACCATGCAAGTAAGTGGCATAACTCGTCTTAGGCAGATCTAGAGTGTGTCCAATGGGTTGAGCTAAATCCACCATATTTATTGCAGATTGCATATATTCTGAACTCCTTGACTCTAAATCCAAAATTTACCTTTGTGTTCTCTTTAGTTTTCGTTGGATTATGATTCTAAACTTACTACTGCATTGGATATGCAGACAAGTTGACAGCAGATGCTGCTCTTGATCCATCCGGTCTTGTAGCGGTTGCAGTTTGCCATGGGTTCGCTCTGTTCGTGGCGGTTTCCGTTGGGGCTAACATCTCCGGTGGTCACGTTAACCCTGCAGTTACTTTTGGATTAGCTCTTGGTGGCCAAATTACAGTTCTTACTGGCCTCTTCTACTGGATTGCTCAACTTTTGGGCGCCACTGCTGCCTCCTACCTCCTTAAAGTTGTCACCGGAGGATTGGTAAGTCTTTAACTCTCAAAGGAAAATTAAGTTATATACACTATCAGTAAAAATTTTATATTGTCTGCATAATTTAACTTGTCGTTACATGCCATGTCTTACTAATTAACTATGTTTACAATTAATGCAGACACTAACTTACAATTGGATTTTTAAATGTACTAAAAATATTTTCACATCATTAATACATTAAATTTTATTGAGCTTTCTTATGATAGTGGAAGCATATCCTTTCTAGACTTCTCAATCTACATAACACAATTTAATTCCCATGGCTATATCAGAGGCGAATCTAAGATTTAAAGTCAGTGCTTTTAAAATGAGTGTTACCTTATTATATTTATACATTTTATTTTATGTTCTTGCATATATTTATATAGTTCGAGCTGAAAATAGTATGTTCACTTAAATCTATATAACCCATTCTAGATCTGCTTCTAACCATGGGCGGATGTAGCGTAATTCCGGCGGGTTTAATTGAATTCATAATTTTGACATGATGCATAGATTTACGTGTTTACTAAAATTTGCAACAACGAGTGGATATGAACCCATACCTTTAAAAATATAACAGGTTCAATATTAAGAATCTTAAAGGCTGAACCCATAATGTTTAAATCCTGGATCCGCCTCTGCTTCTAACTATACCAAAATTCAGTTTTTAGCCATATTTTTGTCATCTAACTTACTTTCTTTTGTTTTTTTCAGGCTGTTCCAATCCACAGTGTAGCAGCTGGAGTAGGAGCTGCTGAAGGTGTAGTAATGGAAATTATCATCACATTTGCATTGGTGTACACAGTGTACGCCACAGCAGCTGACCCAAAGAAGGGTTCATTGGGCACAATTGCACCCATTGCCATTGGTTTCATTGTTGGTGCTAACATTTTGGCTGCTGGTCCATTCTCTGGTGGTTCAATGAACCCAGCTCGGTCCTTTGGACCTGCAGTGGCTAGTGGTAACTTCGCCGGTCACTGGATTTACTGGGTTGGACCCCTTGTTGGTGGTGGCTTAGCTGGTCTTATCTACAGTAATGTGTTCATGAACCATGACCATGCCCCTCTATCCACCGATTTCTAAGTTAGAATTTGATTATTGTGTCCAAAATCCATTTGCCTTTTGTAATAAAGGAAGAAAAAAGCAATATTTTGCTCTTTCTTTCTTTTGTATTGGTACCTTTTGTTTTGATTTTTTGTTTCTTTCTAGCTTTTGGTTTGCAGCTGTACACATCCATCTCTTTGGTGACATGTTGTTGTCTAATTGATTTTATGGATTTGGTGAGATCGAAAGGCCACCACTCATTGATGTTGTTGTGCTTTTGTCTTTTTGAAATTTCATTATTCCCCTTTTGCTTCTGCGAGTGGTGGATATAGTGGTTTCTTTACTGCCGTTTGGCAATAAAATTTGGGAGTTTTTCTTTAAAGTTTATTTTAAATATCTACTTATTTATAGATTTTAATTATTTTTGGCAAATTTTGAAAAAAAAAATCTTCAAATCTTCAAATTGCTTATCCAAACATAATTTCAACTTTCAAAAATCATTTTTCATCTCGTCTCAAAAAATTTATCTTTTCAAATTTCAATCAAACCTAAGTAAAAAAATTAGCTTTATCTCTCATCTCAAAAAGAAAAAGTAAATTATCACCACCTCCTCCTTGATTTGGTAATGATATGCTCTCGAAAGATATTTGGATGTAAGACTAGCTAGTACTATCAAATTTATCAATAATTAACTTTCACGTGCATCTACTGTTTAATTCATTAGAGATTAAATGTCAGTCCAAGTACTAATTGTTTGTCCTAAAAAATGAGTAACAATTAAATTTGTATGCGGTTTAAAGGATATCTGATTTAATTCAATACGAATAGTCTTAGAACAACAAGTAATTAAGTTAAATATAAAATAAAACAAACCAATCGTAATGTGATGGTCAAGCATGATCTTAGATTGAATAGTGAAACTTGACCTCGATCAGACCCTTGATATGAGCTCGTTTTCAGGTAAAAAAAGAGAACAAATGAAGAACACTTTGAATAGTAGCTAGAAGACAAAAATAAATTTTTTATTGCTTTGATTTGCGTGTCACGCTATGTCAAAATAAAAGAAACCTTCCCATTTATTTAGTAGGGGAATTTCAGTCCTAGTACAAGTCTAAATAAGGTAAAAATTTCCTTTTTCGGTAAATAACGTTCCGTAGTTGATATCGGCCAGGATTCGTGCCGTAATATCCGGTTGAGGACAAATATTACGGCTCCATACTCGTCATTCATAACCGTTCTTTGTGTTTCCCGTGGTCCAAAAACCTTACTTGGTCTAGGTCCGTTATTTCACTATGCCCAATCCCATATACATTGTTCACTCCTCCCGGGTTCCGATACGAGGGTTCCTTCAGTCTCGCTTGTAGTCATGCCGAGCCGTGCTTCCCTTTTGTTTCCTCATCAGGGAATCGGAAAAAACTCTGTCCCCGATTTTACCCGTACACAGATAGTCCCTTCACTTCTCAGAGAGCAGATTTATCGAAGCGATGAGAATTGATGAATTAACCCCGGTTCCTTCTTCCGTACACTACAACTGAGCTGATGGGCCAGTGAAACATCCCATCAGTCGCGTCATTCTGACTTCAGACACGTGTCAGCCGCCGGTTAACTGTCCCGGAATGCGAAACGTCACGCATTGATTACCCATTCTCTATAAAAGCTTCGGTCTCCTTTTCACTTTTTTACTTTCCGATTCTAGAGCTCCTTAATTTACCCTCGAACTCTTACTTATTCTTAACCCCTTCAAACCTTAGTACATTGTTTCCTAGATCTTCATATTTTCATTCTCCCATCTTCAAATCTTCAAATCTTCACACTCTATCTTCAAATCTGACCTTCACGCCTTCATCCTTATGTTCAAATCTTCATCCTCACCTTCAAATCTTCATATTTTCCAGAATTCGATAGCGAAGACTTCAAAATATGTGCCTCAACAGACCGTCCCTTCAACTTCTAATCCAGCCACAGATGCCGAGGTGGTCGTTGCTGAGGTGGCCCCGGAATCTCCCCTGAAGAGCTTCATTCTGGGAGGCTACTCCATTGTGAACAACTTCAAAATCGAGAAAGCCTCCAGTCAACAGGACCGAGGCGAGTAGGTATGGAGGTACATATGCTCTGTTACCGAGGATACACTCCATACAGTCTAGGAGGACTTCAACTGGCAGGGCAAGGAAGTGGTCGTTCCTGGTCCCGATGAGGACATTATCACTCACCTGGAGGGATATCTAAGTGTTTAAACTTACCCCTTTCACATTTGCCCTGATGGACCCTATAATCCTTAGCTTTTGCAAAAGGTATGAGGTCTGCTTTGAGCGTTGATCCTGACTGTAAAAGAACGGCCGTGTTTACTATCCCGGCAGACACCCGGGTGCTATCCTCTACGGTGGGCGTGGCCAGCTATCTTAGTTGCCTGGTAACCGAAGAGGACCAGGCCAAGATGAACAAAGTGAGCACATCGAGCCTCTTCAACGAGGCACAACAGGCACTGAATCGGGTAAGCTTCCCCATTCTTGTGCCCTTCGTGCATCTTATTTAACTTCAGTGTGTCCTCATGATCTTGGTGGTGTTAACGCTAGGTTGGAAGTTTGGAGAAAGACGCTGGAGTCCAAAGGTTTCAAGCGAAAACTGAATACTTGGAGTGCAAATTCAGTGATGAGAGGCATGAAGAAGAAATGGAAGTATAGATTGATACTCAAGTCATTCCCACAAGAGATAGTTTCAAGTATCTTGGGTCTATAATCCAAGGCAACGGGGAGATTGATGAGGATGTTACTCATTGTATTAGAGCGGGTTAGATGAGATGAAGGCTAGCCTCGGGGGTTTTATGCGACAAGAATGTGCCGCCTAGTCTTAAGGGTAAATTCTATAGGGTGGTGGTTAGACCGGCTATGTTGTATGGAGCTGAGTGTTGGCCCGTCAAGAAGTCCAATGTCCAGAAGATGAGCGTGGCTGAAATAAGGATGTTGAGAGATGTGTGGACATATTAGGAAAGACAAGATCAGGAATGCAGTTATTAGGGGCAAGGTGGGAGTGGCATCAGTGGAAGCCAAGTTGCGAAAATCGAGGTTGCGATAGTTTGGGCATGTGAGGAGGAGAGACATAGATGCCCCGGTTAGGAGGTGTGAGAGGTTGACCTAACCGAGGTTGACCATGGCGGGCTTGAGGAAGGGCAGGGGTAGGCCAAAGAAGTATTGGGGAGAGGTGATTAGACAAGACATGTCGGTGCTTCACCTAACCGAAGACATGACTAGCGATAGGAAGGTGTGGAGGTCGAGGATTAAGGTGGTGAGTTGACAGGTAGTTTTGGGTTCTCCTAGGTTACCAGTAGTACTACTAATATTCTTGTTGTTGGTTGAAAGTTACTTCCTTTTAGTTTGTTATTATATCTGGTACTTAGCAACCACGTCCAGTTTTTTTGAAAATTGCTACAAGAAATTGTTGCTCCTTGCTTATTATTATTTGATGCTACTCTTTCTCCCTTTTACTAGAAATTGTTGCTCTCTGATTGTTACTATCTGATGCTACTTTTTCTCCTCTTTTTCCTTATCGTCTTTTGTCTTTCTCCCCCCCCCCCCTCTTTCTTCTTCTTCTTCTTCTTCCCTTTTCTTCCTTTTCACCTTCTCTTAAGCCGAGGGTCTATCGGAAACAGCCTTTCTACCTCCCCAGGTAGGGGTAAGGTCTGCGTACACATTACCCTCCCCAGATCCCACTTGTGGGATTATACTGGGTATGTTGTTGTTGTTGTATCCTCATGATCTTATCGATTTGTTTTTCAGGCTTCGGTGCTCCACCATGTAAGCTTCCATCAGTTTCGGATGGAAGTCCGCCAGCTCGAGTTCGAGCTCAAAGAGCAAGTCCGGCAGAAGGACATGTACATGGTGCTCAGAGAGCAAAAAGACGAGGCCCTCAAAGATCTTCCTATTCTTCGAGCAGAGCTGGAGAAAGCTCAAAAGGAGGCTTTTTCCGTGAAACGAGAGCATGCCGAACTGGTCGAGAAGGTAAGTATTTTTAGGTTAAAAATGAGAGGTAACACGTAGTGACTAACGACGAACCTTCGCAGGTCCAAGATAAGATAGACCTGATTGACTAGCTCTGGGCCGAGATGAATGAGCTAAAAACTTTGACCGAGACGCTGAGGAGCAGGATAGACCTTCTGGCCTCGAAAAAAGAGGCCAAAGAGGAGTTGGCGTCGGTTAAGGACCAGCTCCAGGTGGCGAAGGACAAGGCCGACAAGTGGTCTCGGCTAAATGACAAGCTTCGGGCACAACTGGATTGAGCCGTCTCGGAATGAGACGACCTTGGCCGGGAATATATTGCGCTGTAGTCCAAGTTAGAGGCAGCCTCGATTGATTCCTTCGAGGTCGAAGAAATGCTGGACCAATATAAAACTGATGTGGAGATAGCAAAGGCTCGTTTAATAACAAAGGCCTAATATGTAAAGCGACTGTCCGGAGCGAGACCCTCGAGGAGATCCATGACCGGGGATTTGATGTGTCGGCCGAGATTGAAGAGGCCAAGAGGCTCGAGGCCGAGGCAAAAGAGCTATACGAGCTTGAAGGTTTCGGTGCTGAGTTGAGCTCTGGTGAAGATTAGACGGAGATGCCTTAGCTCCTTTTTTGTTTCCTTTTTTATATTTCTTTTTTGTTTAATTTGAGGCCATTTTATCGTGCCTTTGTAAATACTTTTTGGAATATATATATATAGAAGTCTTCCTTCGGCAACACTGTGTCTTCTACTTTTCAGCATTTATTCGCACTTTTTTATTTGTGGATCGTCCTTAATGCCTTAGCATAGAATTAGACGTAGTCTGGCGCATCCGTTCTCTAGAATCCCGAATAAGGCTAGGTTTCGATAACTTCGAGTTGTTCGTAGCTTCGAAATTTTGATAAAAAACGAAGGCCTTTAAGATACTTGAGTGTTTTAGTCATACACGGCAGTGTTTTGCCGAGGGTAACCCTTTAATATGTTTTAATCATACGTAAAGTCCTTACTTTCTGAGTACCAACTCAGACGTCTCCGAGCCGTTTTAGGTTGGTCATAGCCTTTCATGCAGGCCTTGCCTAATAGGCTCGGTGCCTCCAGATTCGATAGCCCAGGCCATCCGATTTTTTATTGGACGACAGTCCCCGAGTTTGGGTAGCCCGTGGGCTCTAGGATTTAGGATCCGTTATTCATTCTAAGTTATTCAACGAATGCATCGATGGTGCGAAATGCATAGCGATATAAAGAAAGCAAGGATTTCTTTCATTGCTTTGTATGTAGAGTACATAACCAGAGGCGCATAAGCCTTGTGCCATGGCAAGAGTGGGCTATGCGGGTACGGTTCATTTGACCGTTTGACCCTCACAATGAATTCTAACTACCAAATTGCTTTTTAATATTAAGTAATAGAACCTTCTAAAGATCCTAACCTAGGGGGTAATGGCCCCTAGTATTTGAGGCCGAACTTGTGAGGGCTCGAATATTGTTGGTCTGGTACAGGTGATTAGCACCTCCAGCTTTAGGCCGGACTTTGAAACTAAGGTAGCATGTTTTACTGTTGCCTCGCTAAAAACGTTGCCATAAAATCTACTTCAGGAAAAAATCAGTTTAGGGAAAAAAGAGTACAACACGTGCTTTCAGACCTAATAGTAACATTTTTCCTCCGTCGAGTACCTGCACAAGTTAGTCCGTAATATAACAAATTTCAAAAAGGAATTATGCTCGTACCTTAGCAGTAGTACTGCTTTAAGTGTGCCACATTCCAGTTGTTCGGTAGTTGTACACCGCTTCCCGACTCGAGTTTATACGAACCTTTCCCGGTTATTCCGGCAACTCTATGTGGTCTTTCCCAATTCGGGCCTAGTTTTCCGTCGTTTAGGTTCCTTGTGTGTAGCATTACTTCATCAGCACCAAGTCCCCGAATTGAAAATGTCGAAGGTTAGCTCTTCGGTTGTAGTACGTCCCTACTTGCTGCTTTTGGGCAGCCAACTGGACCAAGACGACTTCCCGCCTTTCGGCCAATAAGTCCAGACTCGTGGTCATGGCCTCACCATTTGATATTTTGGTAGCTTACTGGAACCTGAGGCTCGGTTTTCCCACTTTGATCGGGATTAAGATTTTCGCGCCGTAAACTAGAGAGAACGAGGTCGCTCCGGTACTCGACTTCGAAGTCGTTCGGTATGCCCACAAGACTTCGGGCAAGATTTCCTTCCACTTTCCTTTCGAATCGATCAGCCTCTTTATCAAGTTATGAAGTATGTTTTTTTCGTTTATTCCGCTTGTCTGTTTCCCACTAGGGTGGTAAGGTGTTGATAATATCTTTTTAATTTGTGGTCTTCGAAAAATTTACTTACCCTGCTATCGACGAATTTTTTTGGTTATCAAAAAAGATCTCTACCGGTATCCTAAATCGACATATTATGTGATCCAGATGAAGTTGATGACCTCTTTCTCCTAGACCTTCTCGAACGCCTGAGCCTCGACCCACTTGAAAAAATAATCGATCATGAGTAGTATGTACTGGGCTTTACCGGGCGCCCATGGAAGGGGACCAAGGATGTCCATCCCCTATTTCATAAACGGATATGGCGACAATGTTATACCCCATTTTATACTGGTTAAAATAGGGAACAACATATAGGTGACTTCGAGTTAGATTAAAGTTAAAAGAGTCTCCACCTAATTAATTATGGTGAATTAGGGCACCTAATGTTGATTAAAGTAATATAGTCAATTATAACTCCGTTAATAGTCCACTTAACCTAAAGATTCTAGGTAAAAGTTTTTAAATATTTTAAAAAGAAGGTTTTTAAAGCACCTTTTAAAATCCGTAAATAACGATTAACCGGGCAAACTTAGGTTAACAAAAGTTTTTGTACAAAATATCAAGAAATATCGTTTGAGGTATTTTAACAAAATATAGCTTACAATAGAGTAGTTTAACTTTGAAAGACATAATGAACTTTTGAAAAATATTATTAAGTAAACAAAGTTTATAAATAATTAATATACATATATAGATTTGAGAGGATACGTCCCTTTTGAGAAAGACATTTGCTACTGATTAATATTTTTATTATAAAAAAAATACCCTTTCTTTTGCTTGTCTTCAAAAAGTGATCAAGGTAAGAGATCATTAGAACTCTTCACTTAAGAAAATGTTTGCGGATTCCAAAGTCCAAAAAGAATCTCATTTTTTTGTATTTTTTTTAAAAAGTAATCGCATTTTCATGATGTTACAAGAAAAACAGTTTGTCAATTTCAATTAAAGCGCGTTCTTACAAAAATTGATTTGATTCCAAACTTATATAATAGAGACTTGAAACTTAAATGGTTCTTCAAAAATTCTTTAAGAGCACTATTATATCTGCCAATAACTAAGTGAGAATACTAAGTGAAGAAGTCAAAACTAAATCAATAATCCCAGGTTAAATGTAGAACTAAAATAATCAAAGTAATATAATCAAATTGATTAAAAATTCAAAATAGAGTAAATGTAAATAATGAAGGCTGCCATAGGCGACCCCAAGCAATTTGCTTGTTTTCTTGCTGTCCATATGCCTAAGATGCAGTGGTGACTCCATGCTCGGTAGGGTGTGTCTTGTATTAAAACTCGTGATTTGCTCCAAATGTATATGCAAAAGAAAAGGGGGCAAAGAAAGAATTAGAAGGATATTTCATTCTTTGTTATGTAATATGAGAATAAGGAAAACAACAAGAATCGTAAATTATGCAACGTCTAGAGTTCACATACTAACAGATTCATATCCTTGCGTCTAGACATAAACAGAAACTTCCCATTTCTCATTTTAAGCATTAGGATTAACGGTGCTAGTTATTCTTCAAGGGATGCTTCTCTCAAATGAAAATAGATCAAAATTAACCACTTCAAAACATATCCAAGTTCTTGAACTCTTGAGACCCGCTACTCTTAAGCAAATATAAGATCTTAAGATGTAGTGCCTAGCATAGTATTATCAGAATGTTTCTTCTTCTTTTTTTTGTTATTATAGAAAAGTAACTCAAAAATGTCATAGCTAGGACCTTATTAACAGAAAGGTTATTAAATGTGTTCCTTTGTTAAAAGATTCTCTACTCAAATAAAATCCCATACACTCTAGGATTAGAACAAATTTACTCTAATAGTACATACTTTAAACCCCTTAAAGTTACTTTAAAAATTAACAAAAGACACCAAATTTGCAAAGAGATCTATAAGCACGCACCAAATTTCATACTAATATGTGTTTTTATAAACTATTTCATTACAAGGTACCTTAAATCTTATAGTTATGGCATTTAGTTTATATGAACAAGAAGAAAGCCTACTGTCATGGCATTAGTATTATAGAAACGAAAGGAGGCATGTCGATACTGCAACAAGATGCATTTTTCTTTTATGACATTTTAAATAATCATACATTATGCCAATCCATAAGTCCTCTCCCCAAACTAACACTGATTAAACAAATTGTCTTTTTGTCTATAATCATGGGAAGAAAAACAAGTTATGGGCTAAGTTACAACAATCTCTAAAGAGTGCATAGAACCAACTCCATTTGAACAGTTGCTTTTAAGTTTTATCTTATCCTAAATTTATTCTTAAGAAATTCATTATCTCTAACATACACGTTGCTGAAAAAATGAAGCTCAACTTAACAGGAAGCTATAAAAGTCCATCAATACATAGTCACGACACGTCTACATTCTTTTACACAATTCCTAGAAGAAGGGGAAGATATTCAGGATAACATGTTGGGCATAAACACATTTAAATTAGGATCCTATAGAAATGGTTTCTAGATGACGAAAATTACATAAATAATATTTAATCTTACGGACATGCTTTCTAGAGAATAAAGCAGGAAGGAATTAAACACGCTAACATATTTATATGAGTGCCTAAGCGACTTTTTATTTCACTGGATTAATACATGGTCAAAACACATTCTTCAATAGCTTTACAAACTGACAAATCTTAAATCGTGAAAAAAGAAAACAGATCATAGTTCTCAATTTTTTTTACTACATACAAAAAGATATTTCAGTTCTTCAAATATAGGAAAGCATGAAGAAAGAATTGGAGGTTACTGACCTTTTGTGGTGCAGGAACTGAGGTCGCGTCAAGGTCTACTATCTCCGGCCTTTACTCCGCAACCTCGAACGATTGTCAAACTCTGAAACGAGCATGTTGCCGCCTCTATTATGGTTAAACCAAACCAGTAGAGGCTGACCAAAACGAGCCCTTAAAGTGTGGTTCTAATGAGTAAGGATTGATAGAAGAATGTCAGATAAAGAGTATAAAAGCGGCAGGTCCAAAAGGTGCTGAAAATCTCCACCAAGTCTGGTATTCATAGGAGATGAATTAGGATTCTTCTAAGGTTAATTTGGGCGGGATTCTTGAAGGTTTAGGGTTTCAAATGGCTAAAGAACCATTTCAAATAGCGTGTAGCAGAAAGGAAAAGGATGATATGGGCAGGAGAACCATGTATTTGGTTGCCGAAATGGTGAAAACTTGGAGGAAACAAAAAAAAAAAAAGAAAACCTTTTACCTCTGTCATCTTCATTGTGTATGGAAAATGAATTTGAATTCTTCAGTCAAAGTGCTTGAGTTTACAGAAAATTTTCTTAGAATGGTCACACAATTTCTGATTATAAAATATAGGGGGTCAAATCTTTGCTAAGAAAGGAGAAGAAGCCAAAATCTTCTGATGAGAGGAGAGAAGCGTTGTTTTCTTTGAGAGAGGGAAAGAGATTGAACCCCAGTCCAACTTTGATTTTTATTCTAGAAAGAAATTCAACCTTTGGATTAGATGAATCTAATGGCTAAGATTAATCCAGATGTAAGTAAGAAAAATAATAAAATAAATAAATGCTAGCATTTATTTGGAATTCTCTAGAAGATAGGAGAAAGGATCTTGACCATTAATTTAAAATGGACTTGATCTGATGAATCCATGTGGCAAGATGTGGGGTCAAAGTGTGAAGGGATGAGGAGGGCATGAGTTAGGTATGTGTTTTTCATGGGTTTGGATTGTTAGCGCCTATGTGGCGCTGATGTGGGGGCTCAGGTAGCACTTATGTGGAAGTAGAATAAAGTAGATGGGTTGGTAGGTATGGGCCTCCGATTTGGGCTATTTTCGTGGGCCTGGTTGGTTGATTTAGGGGGTCTAGAAATCTGAAAATGTATTATATGAATTGGCCCATTTTAAATAACATTGAACTTTACCAAGATGATCCAATTTACATTTAAAAGTCCTTTTCACTTTAAATTTTACTATGCTTCCATAATTCTAATAATTTATAATAAAATATATTATATTATATTGTTGTAAAAATTAATATTTAATATGTATGCATTTATATATAGAATAGGAAATAGAAAAATAAATTATATTTGACAAATAATGCTTGTATTAATTATTACAATGCATTAACAATAAATAATAATATGATGGTGATTAAGTAACTAATATAATAATAATAACGATATAATTACAATAAATAAATATGCTAAATTATATTAAGGCTAATAATTATATTTTATTTTAAAAATCTTGAGGCTAGAAAATATAACAAAATAAAAATATGTAAAATATATTTAGTAAATTATTAAGAATTAGGAAGTATAGGGAAATTAATTAGGAAAAAGGAGGGCCATAATTGGTTGTCAACAGACAGGACCGGGTGAAGTACCTCTCTCGGTTGATGAATCATCCGAGCGTGTCTTTGACACTCGTTGCATTTCCGTACGAAGTCTTCCGTATCTTTCTCCATTTCATTCCAGTAGTAACCGGCTCTGATTAACTTCCGAACCAGGGATTCTGCCCCCGAGTGGTTCCCACAAGTGCCCTCGTGGACCTCTCTCATAGCGTATTCAGTCTCTCCCATACCCAAGCACCTAGCTAGTGGGTCGAAGACGGATCTTCTGAAAAATTACCCCTCGACTAAGCTGAACCTGGCAGCATTGGTGCGCAGGGATTTTGATTCCTTGGGATCCGGTGGCAATTTTCCTATCTTCAGGTAGTCTATGTATTTGTTTCTCCAATCCCAAGTCAAACTTGTCGAGTTTACCTCGGCGTGACCTTCTTCTACCACCGAGTTCATCAATTGTACCACTATCCCCGAGTCGAATTCGTCGGAGTCAACAGACGACCCCAAGTTCGCCCGTGCATCGACCTCACTATTTTGATCCCGAGGTACGTGTTGTAGAGTCCATTCCTTGAATTGGTGTAAGGTCACCTACAGCTTGTCCAAGTACCTCTGCATCCGTTCCTCTTTTACTTCGAATATTCCGTTGACTTGATTTGGACAAGGAGGGAGTCACATTTGGCTTCGATCACTTTGGCCCCCAGGCTCTTAGCCAGTTCCAGACCTACAATCATAGCCTCATACTCGGCTTCGTTGTTAGTCAATGTTACAGTTCTAATAGACTGCCTAATTACATTATCCGTAGGTGGTTAAAAAACGATACCGAGCCCGGACCTTTTCGCGTTGGAGGCACCTTTCGTGAATAGGGTTCAGATCCCCGAGCTAATACCTGTAGTGAGCAGTAACTCCTTTTCGACCTCGAGTATCAAAGCCGACGTGAAGTTGGCTACGAAGTTTGCCAAAATTTAAGATTTTATGGCGGTCCAAGGTTAGACTCGATATCATACCCGCTAATGACTACGGCCGATTTGGCCAACCGACCCGAGACTCGGGTTTATGTATGACGTTCCTCAGCGGATAGGAGGTCACGACATATACGGGGTGGCACTAAAAGTACGGTTTTAATTTCCTAGAAGCGCTTAGTAAGATGAGCACCAATTTTTCTAGGTGAGGGTACCTTGTTTCGACATCGCCTAGGGTTCTACTAACATAATAAATAGGAAATTGTGTACCTTCTTCTTCCTAGACCAGGACACCACTTACCACCACCTCGAAAACCAACTGTTCGTCCGCCTCGAAGTGTGCAGCAAGGAGGGGGAAGGCTCGATAGGTATCGCTTGAGTTCTTCTAAAGCTTGCTGGCATTCCAGGGTCCAAGAGAAGTTGTTTTTCTTTTTTAATGGTGAGAAGAACCGATGGTTCTTATCCGACGATCTCGAAATGAACCGGCCCAACGCAGCTATTCGCCCGATCCGTCTTTGTACTGCCTTGACATTGTCGACTACGGTGATGTCCTCTATGGCCTTTATTTTGTCTGGGTTGATCTCTATTCCCCGATTAGACACCATAAATTCGAGAAACTTGCCCGAGCTGACCCCAAATGCACATTTCTCCGGGTTTTAGCTTCATGTTGTACTTTCTCAATATGTCAAAGGTTTCCTGCAAATGTTTCAAATGGTTTTCTGCTTGCAGGACTTAACCATCTTATCATTAATATAAACTTCCATTGATTTCCCTATTTTTTCTTCGAACATCCGGTTGACTAGGCATTGGTATGTGGCACCGTCGTTCTTTAATCCGAATGGCATTACTGTAACAACCCGGCCGGTCGTTTTTGGAACATACGCTCCGATCCCCTATTAACTCCTTTTCCCAAGTTTATTTCTGCTATTTTGAATTGCCGGGATGTTAGGTCTTGAGTTTCGGAGAGTTTTGGGACACTTAGTCCCTAAATGAGAGCTTAAATGTTGGAAAACTGACCATAGTCAGAACAGTGTGAAGACGGCCTCGGAATAGAAATCTGATGGTTCCGTTAGCTTCGTTAGGTAATTTCGGGGTTGGGAACATGTTCGGAATGTATTTTGGAGGTCCGTAGCTAATTTAGGCTTGAAATACCGAAGTTTGAATTTTTGAAGTTTCCGATTCGATAGTGAGATTTTGATCCGAGGGTCGGAATGGAATTCCGGAAGTAGCACTAGTTCTGTCATGTCATTTGGGATGTGTGTGCAAAATTTCAGGTAATTCGGACGTGTTTTGGTTAGGTTTTTGATCGAAAGCGTATTTTGAGGAAATTTGAAGTTTTTAGGCTTAAATCCTTGATTAATTCGAGTTTCCGACGTTGTTTTAGGTGGTTTAAGGATTGGTACAAGTTTGGACGATGTTATGGGATATGTCCGTAGTTTTGGTTGAGGTCCCCGGTGGCTAAAAATGGTCTCCCCAAAATAAGGGGTATCTCTTCATCCACCTGACAGTCCAGAATCACAAAGTCTGCAGGGAACACGAACTTCCCCACTTGCACCAGCACATCGTCAAGAATACCTGTAGGTCTTTTCACAGTGCGATCAGCCAGCTGGAGTAGCATCGAAGTCGGCCTGGCCTTGCCGATGCCCAATTTGGTGTATATAGCCAGCGGCATCAAATTTATGCTGGCTCCCAAATCATATACTCCCTTTGCAAAGGCATACCACCACTGCAAATGAATCTCAATTCCGAATTATATTAATCCATAAAGCACAAAAATGAATGATTAGAAAACAATCAATTACAGTCCCGTTCAAATCCCGCATAATAGTACAGCACCAATTAGGTCAACATTAAAAAAAAAACAAGTCAAATAAGGGTACACATAAGCTCAAACAGCAATTTAAGACTTACTTGCTCCAAATCAAATCAATAACATAGACTACAAATTACATGTGACAGATGAATACTTCAAATAAATATAGATACCTGGTTGCACAAGAATCACTGAAATGGATGTTTCGATTTCTTCAAAAATATTCAACAGTTACACAAGCAAAAAAAAAAAACGAAACCAGGGCTGTCGAAACCAACTCTTTCCCTATGTGAAAATCAGCACGTACACATGAATCCGACAATGAAAATTTGAATGAAGACATCAGCAAATCGCTACAGGGACTTAAACCAACGAACTCGACCTCGACTAGCACCTCCGAACCAACGAAGCAGCAAAAAACTCAAACAAACTCAATGACCGAAACTCTATGTGATTTCGTGTGTGTGTATGGCTACTGGTTCTTGTGTGGATCTGAAGGAGAAGAAGGCGTTGAGGGGCTGGTTGTTCTTGGGAGTTGCGGCTGGTTCCGGCGAGTTGCGGGTGGCGTTGGATCTTAGAGCTTCATGAAGAAGAAGCTCATGGAGGGTCGTTTGTGCTTGGCTGAAGAATGGCGGAAGGCTTTTTGTCTCTAGGTTAGCTATTAGCTGTTGTGTATTATGCTGAAAATGATGGGAGGGGTCGAAGAAGATGATCACCGGAGTTTGCAGCATCTGTTCAAGCAGAAGGATCTTAATTTGCGTCAGAGGAGATGGGTAGAGTTGCTGAAGGATTATGACATCACTATCTTGTATCACCCGGGTAAGGCCAATGTGGTGGCCTATGCTTTGAGCCGCCGAGCAGAGAGTTTGGGGAGTTTGGCTTATTTACCAGCAGCAGAGAGGCCTATGGCGATGGATGTTCAGGCCCTAGCCATCCAATTTGTGAGATTGGATCTTTCGGAGCCCAGCCGGGTTCTAGCTTGTGTGGTCTCTCGGTCTTCCTTGTTTGATCATATCAGGGAGCGGCAGTATGATGACCCTCATTTGCTTGTCCTCAAGGACAAGGTGTTACATGGCGATGCTCGAGATGTGGCCATTGGTGATGACGGAGTATTGAGGATGCAGGGTCGAGTTTGTGTACCCAATGTCGATGGTCTTCGGGAGTTGATTCTAGAGGAGGCCCACAGTTCCCGGTATTCCATTCATCCGGGTGCCGCGAAGATGTATCAGGATTTGAGGCAGCACTACTAGTGGAGGCGGATGAAGAAGGATATAGTTGGGTTTGTAGCTCGGTGCCTTAATTGTCAGCAAGTAAAGTATGAGCACCAGAGACCGGGTGGATTGCTTCAGCAGATAGAGATTCTGGAGTGGAAGTGGGAGCGGA